CAAGTCCATTTGTGCTAACCATACACTCGCTCATGGGCGTGGGGTCATCCATTGGATCCTACCGGGAACCACACCCGTAAAGAAAATGGACTCTTCCTCCCCCAGAAGCCATCAACTAGGAGTGGGTGTTGGTCGACCCCTCCCCCTCAGGCTGGAATAGAGGCTGGCTTGGTCTTGTGCAGCTGTTGTGAGCTCCTGAGACACTGTTTCAACCCGTTGGTCTTGCAGTCTTTTTTCTCTTAATTTCCACAATGTTTCCTGAGCGTTGAGGGGAGGGCAGTGTGATACCAACGTCCTTTTTACTTCTTAGTACTGCAGAGACATCTGTTCTCTGCACTTTGACTGGTTGTGAGTCTCTCCACTAACTGCTGTTGTCTGTATAAACGCTCCTCTGGTGAGGTCTGAGGGCTGCAGTCATCTATGGGTGTAGAGACGCATTTACAAGGCATGTGTCTAGTTAGTAAAGTGATAGTACATTCACCCTTAGGGCCTATGGGGTTTTGGCCCGATTTTTATACCTAGGAGTTTCCTCCTAGGATGTGGACCTTACACCCAATGATTGCCCCATAACATCCACACCACTGTTGCAGCACAGACATATTGCCAGGCTGGTGATCACTGTAGCTCTCAGGCGTCATGGCTGGTAAAACTTCCAGTTCTGTGAAAACTAGCCAGCAAGGAGGAAACTTCCAGGACAGTACCGGCTCAATTTCTCCAAACCCTGTGATCAAAGAATAATGTCTTCAGCAGTAGGGTCTTGCCATCAAGTTCTGGTGAGCAACCATGAGCACTGGCAACAGACTGCATAGCTTTGAAAGTCTTTGGGATCCCCTCCCTGGACCCCCCCATCACCCAACTGGTTGATGAGAAATAATCCACACCTGGCACTGGACTTTGTATCTGGCAACCTATGGCTTCTAGAAGGCACACCATCCCTGCCATGTAGGGTAACACCATATTCCCTCACCATCCCTCCCTTTCTCACCGCCACGGTGTGTGGTGTGTGTGTGTGTGTGTGTGTGTATTTTAAAGGAAGCTTAAAAAAGTAAGTTTCCACAGGGTTTTCCCAAACATCCTGAGATCGAGTGTTAGTTCTCTCTCTCTCTCTCTCTCTCTCTCTCTCTCTCTCTCTCTCTCTCTCTCTCTCCCCCTCTCTCTTTCTCTCTCTCTGCTTTTAAATTGGATTCGTTAGATTGTTTTTCTATAACTATTGTTACTGGTGGACTTAGCTTATTTTGTTATTTATTTTCTGGTTGCCATTTTTTGGTTACACTTGCCTGTAAAGTCTTGCTCAAATGTTTTTTAGCATTCATTTGACTTTCTTTTAAGAGAATTTATTTTGAAAACTGGGACCCCTGATCTGGCTTCTTAAGGTAACTCCAGTGAGTCTACTTTGTGGTTTACCGTCACAATCCATTCAGAGTTAATATTGCTTAGCTAATAGGGTTTCGTTGACTGTTGCCCTCAACCTCTGTGCTACCGTGATACTATGTTTCTGAGACGCATTCTTGCTTGTACTGTATGTAATACACTGTGCAGTGCACTGTTGTAGCCTGTGCATGAAATTGCCCATTGTCTTTTGAGAAAATTAAGCATGAGAATGTTTCAAACGGATCCCTATTTTCTGCACCGCGGCACTCCTGGAGGGCTGTTTGTCTCTGGGGTCGCTCGTCTTCAGTGAGGCGAGCTCCCTTTAGATCTCCCTTTATGCGGTTCCCCTAGCAAAACAGTTTTCAGTTTTCATTGATCTCAAAATTGTCTTTATTCTGCCTTCATCTTCTGATGGCCGCTGTCACTGGATATAGAATTTGGAGTTGAGCAGGCTTTTCTCCCCTTCCCTTTCAGGACTTTAAAGTGTCATTCCAGTGCCTTCTTACCTCCATTATTTCTGATGAAAATTCAAGTCTCATTCTTATCACTGTTCTACTGTATGTGATGGGTCGTTTTTTTCTGGCTGCTTTGAAATTTTTCTCTTTATCTTTACTTTTCAGCAGTTTGACTGTAATTCGCCTAGGTTTACTGTTCTTTGTACTGCCCCATTCTGAGGTTTGAACCCAGGGTCTTATGTATGCTAAATACAGGTTCTTCCACTGACCGGGGAATTGACTTTTTTTTTGGGGGGGGGGGAGTGAGTGGTCATCAGCTATTTCTTTGAAATTTTAAAATTTATTTAGTTGCATGACATTTTCTTTTACTTACATGGTGCCCATTTTTGCAAATAGCTTTTTAGAGGCGGGGGAGGTTTAAACATAAATAAAAAGATCAGGAGTACTGGAAACCAACTTTATAAAGTCTCTCATTATAGAGTTGGAGAGACAGGTCAGTGTTTAAGAACATATACTGCTCTTGCAAAGGACTGAATTGAGTTCCAGCAACTGCACTGGGTGGTGGCTCATTGCCACCCGTGCCTCCAGCTCCAGGGAGATCTGGCACCTCTGGCCTGCACAGGCACCGCACACGTGCACTTGCATACGTGCACACATGCACATGATTAAAATTAATCTAAAAATATTGTTTCTTACATATATAATTATTTTTCTCTGTGTAGCAAGCTCTGGCTGTCGTGGACTCACTTTGTAAACCAGGCTGGCCTCGAACTCATGGAGATTTGCTTTGCTCTGCCTCCCAAGTGCTGGTATTAAAGGCATGTGCCACCACACCTAGCCAATGAAACTATTTAAAAATATTTCTTTGTCTCTTAAAATTCTCCCTTCTTCCCCAATTCCACCCCCTGCCCCTTCTCTTTGCAACAGAGTCTCCTAGTGCCCCCAGACAGGCTGGCCTGGTCGGTCAGCCAGTCCCAGGGATGTTTTTGGTTTTCCATCCCCAGCACTGGGCTTACAAGTACAGGCCATCACATTCAGCTTTCTTACATTGGCTCTGGGGATCAAAGTCAGCTCTTTGTGCTTGTGTGATGAACATTTTACCAACTGAATATCTCCCAATCCTTGCAAACTTATTCTTAAAAATTACTTTAAGTCATGTTTTAAATAGAATTTTCCTAACTTTGTTTTTGAATTTTTCATTGCTGATACAGTTGAAGCTGGTGCTGTGGCTCAGGGAGAGAATATTTGCTCAGCACATGCAAGATTCCAAGTATAGAAAACAAACTTCTGTATCCAAAAGTCAATGTCAAAATACAGATGGTTCTTGGACACTGGCTTTATACCTTATAAACACGTTGGCCTTATGTTGATGCTATGTGAACCTTAGAGTTTTCTGCATATAAGATCACACCAGATTCAAGTAGAGATAGTTCTACTTTATTCTTCTCAATCTGGATGTTTAAACTTTATTTTCTTGTCTAATTGCACTGGCTAGTATCACGAAGGCAATACTATCTGTGGTGACAGCCCCATTGTTGCCTATGGTCCTTAGAACAGAGATGGGAGCATTCAGTCTTTCACAATTAAGCACGAGATTATCTGTGGGATTTTAGAAAACTGTTTTGTTCATTGTATTGGGTCCCAAACTTACTTAGCAAGCTATGAGGGTGAACTGCACTTCTAGCCCCTTGAAGTTGGGCTTACATCGGAGCTGTTTCTCAGCCTGAGGAAATTTCATTCTTTTCCTAGTCAGGTTGAATGTTTTTATCACGAATCACCGCTGGATTTTGTCAAATGCTCTTCCCATAGATTTTGAGACGATTGTGTGTTTTTGCCCTTCTATTAACATGATGTATTGCATTAATGGCATGTCAATGTTGCTGGTTTGTTTTGTTTTGCCTGTTAATTCAACTTCCCATTTTCATGTCCTTTAGCATTCAAAGCCCCCTGGAGGAACCCATTAGATGATGTCTACAGTTGATGTGATTCAGGGCTTAGATGCTGATGGTGGTTCTTTATAAAAATTCAATCTCATGGGCTTTTTATCTCATCTGAAGTCCTGGTGATGGTTACCTAGCCCTGATTTGTTTACTATCATTGAATAGTACGAGGGTAAACAAATGTTTAGCTGTACTTACATAGCCCGGCTGTGCCAGTACATCATATCATTTTGGTGGTACATGTGATGCAGTGTCATATTGTGAGTACATTTTTTTTTTTTGGAGGCGGAGACTTTCAGCTGTATCATTTATATGCTTTTTAGGGACGATAAACATATTATGAAGGATAAAGCATGCAGCTCATATTTCTGGCAATTGTAATTGCTATCAATGAATTTTTGTCTTCGAAAATTTGTGTACCTCCAAATTACTTCGTTCACCATAACAAGATTTGTTCTGTAGTCTGTGCTTCTGTCATGTTCGGATTTTATAAAGCACATTCACATTAATTGCAGTTCCCCCCCTCCCAGACATTTTTCTTCTCCATGAGGCCCCTGCACTTGGCTGCCTTGCCATTTTCATTGCTGATGTATCTGCTAATTAATGTCCCTCCTCTGAATGCCTGCCCTTTCTCATTCCTGATTTTGCGCTTGGGCTCTGTTTTTTATTTGCGTGGCAATTACCAGGACTTCTCTCCTACTCTCATTGGTCTGTGACCTTCTGTGACTTACTTATAACATTTACATGTTTGTGAAATTGACAATCTGTCCTCTGCCCTCAGTGACCATCAAGGATGTAAGCATGGCCCTTTTTTTTCTAAATTGGTTATTATATTTACATTTCAGATGTTATCCCCTTATCCCGTTCCCCCCCCCACACACACCCAGGGATCCCTATCCCATCCCCCCACCTCCTCCTGCTTCTGTGAGGATGTGCCCCTTAAAACTGGTTTCGGAAGCAGTTATCTCTTGTGGGTAATGTATGCACCAGCTTTCTAAATTCACAGCAAGGCCTCAGATTGTTAGGACTTGCCATTTATAGAGATGCATGAAATCTTGGCTATTCTCTATTCTAGAGAGCTACGCCTAACAGACTGATATTAAGTATATGGTTCTCTTAGTTTGTTAATGTTCAGTTGTTCAGCCATAGACATTTACCAAAGAAACAACATTCATTTCCTAATCTTTCAGATTTTCTTTTCTCCTCTGTTGATCACCTCTTCTTTTTTCTTCAGATACTGAAGACTTCCTGGCAGAAGGCTTGCAGAATGAGAACCTCAGTCCTGGGGCGCAGGATCAGAGAGACCACATTCTCCGGGGTTTCCAGCAAATCAAGTCCAGGTTTGTATCTCCCAGCTTCATTATGTTTAAAAATTCTTCTTTACCAGAGTATAAGTTCACGACAGCAGAATGTACCTGCCACAGGTTTTTATACTTGGCAGAAATTTATGGATTAATTTGGGGGGGGGAGTTAGGTAAGGATACTGGAGTGTACTAACATGAACACGTTTTAGTAATTATCTTAAAATAACCAGGCGGATTTTAGTTTCCAATGTTAGCCTTTATTGAACACTAGGCAGTGGTAGAAGCATAATGACAAAATTGAGACCTTTATGCTTGTTCAGGCAACCAATGAGAAGAAGGGAATTCTCAAGGCTTTGGAGCTGACTTTACTTTCATATTCCCTTCTGCAATAGAAAAGTTCAAATCAGGCCTGGCTAGTCCATGTTTTGACAGTACCAGTATGCATTAGCCCCAGACTGGGTAGGAACGTTGTGCTCATTAAGTTTTTAAAATAAGGAGCTCAGGTCTCATTTGCACATTTTACAATCTGAGCAGCTAATAGCTGCTGGGAGCACACACTTCCTTAGGGGAAGAAGAAATCAACACGTCCCTTACAATCCATTTCCTGACTGACTTCTCATAAGGGTGGCAACCAAGCGAGCGAGGGCACAATCGCATGCTCCTATGTCCTTTGCCACCCGGGTGCAGTTCTGATTCACAGTGCTTGATCTGAGCATGCTTAGAGAGCATCTCCAGGCTTAGGGCTGGATCCACTTTGCATGGCCAATCATTCTTAGCCTCTACTTTCAGAACTGGCGGAAACTTCTTAGACATGGGGAATTCTATCCTTTGGAAGGGCACAGCCAGAACCTACTCCCTGCAGGAACGTGAGAGACCCTCACGAGGTGCCCTGCTGGATCTTAATCGACCTTTCCTGCTGGCTAATTAAGCATCACTTTTACTCAGCAACTGGGGACTGTGTAATTATCAGCCTGGGTTGCCCTGAATAATTGAAACAAGCAGAATGCTGAAGATGGGTTCTCTCTCTCTCTCTCTCTCTCTCTCTCTCTCTCTCTCTCTCTCTCTTTCGGGAATATCTAATTTTTGGTAGGCTGTGAAGTGTTGAAATCAAACCCTTGAATTGCGTTCTTTCGTTAATAGATAAGTTTAGATTTAGTTATGCACATGGAGGCTTGGCTAATGAATGACCCATGAATTTTCTTTATTTCATGAGTTGGCTTTTGTATTACCTACCATAAGGATCATATAAATGTGGAACTTCAAATTCTATTACAGAGAAAGAGGGAAGCCCTGAATATAATAGGGAATATAGTTGTTCCATTGATATAAAATATGGGATGTGGGAAACAGATACAGCTTTGTTGATCTGTATAGACACACATATGTATATTTTCATTTTTTCTATCATAGCATTAGGAAAGATCTGAGTTCCAACATTAAGTGGGCAGATTGCTTCCTTTTTTAAAAAAAAATGTTTTCTGTGTATGTGTATTTTGCCTACATGTATATTTGTTCACCACATGCTTGTCTGGTGCTTACAGCAGTCAGAAAAAGGCATTCGGTCCCCTGGATCTGGAGTTACAAACAGCCATGAGCTGTCTGTGAATGTTATGTGAATGCTGGGAACCAAACCAGGGTCTTCTGGAAGGACAGCCAGTGATCTAAGCGTAGCAGCCATCTCTCCAGGCCCCTCATAGCTCTCCTCAGTCTTCTTCTGAAACATGCATGCACACGTACGTGTGCGTGTATAAACACACACACACACACACACACACACACACACACACACACACAGCCTCACCCTCATAGAAGGCTTCCAAAGAACATCCCATGTGGTTTGTGGGTTAGACATTGAAAATAACCAGCGGGCACTTTAGGGAGCGTCATTGATGAGGGCTTTCTGTTCATCGATTTGTTGCTAGAAAGATGATGCTTTATTCGAGATTTCATAATTATCCAGTGGCTAAGGAAGTGAGGACCCAGAGGTTAGATACCACACAAGAAGATGGAGACAGGAGGCTTTCTTCTAACCAGGTCTTGGGGGACGCCTTCCACCCGCCTCTTCAGTCACAGTATTGCTAATGGCATCCTCGTTTTCCTAAATCTTCCTAATTCAGCTGTATCACCTCTATTATTCCATTTGTGCCTGGCCAATATTAGGCACCTCTATGTGCTGATACCAAGTGGTTTCAAGATACTGAAAATTTGCAAAAGTGCCAGCACTTACTCATATGGCATGACGGTTGTATCTACCCCCAAAAATAAGATGTGAAGAACAATTCGAAAACCGTCAAATCTGAGAGTTCATTTTACACAAGGAATTCTGGAGCAACGGAAGAATTAATGGAGGCCATTTCAAATGTTTCATCTTTAGCCACAGTAAAGTGATGATGCTTTCGGGACTTGTACATTGGGATGTGTCTGCATTATATACAGTCTCACATATTCCCGCTCTGTGGCTTGTTTCGTGACATTCCTTGACTCTTTCTTCACGTTGCACTGCTGGGGAACAAAAAGGGTGAAGGGAATTAAAAATGGCCCTGCCCAAGCCTTGGTAAACCCTAGGGCCTCAGTCCTAGTCTTCAGTGGCTCAGATTCAGTGGTATAGGCCATGGTTGCAGAATTGTTTGAATTGGAGCGTCTTGACTCTATCACTACTAATGGCATGTGCCATCTGCCACCTTCCTGTTGTCCAGGATGGCTGACCACAGAAAATGGTGGTGGTGTGCACTCTGCAGTGTCCCTGACATGCTCATCAGTATATCACTATCAATATCATAGTTCTAGGCTCGCTGCGTCCCTGACATGCTCATAAATATATCAGTATCAATATTACAGCTCGAGGCTCGTTTCTCAGACTTACAAACAACGTTGGAATAAGATTTCTGCATCTACAGCTGCATTATTGTACTTGAAAGTGTGCCAAGGAAGGATAACGTTCTTCACACAGGACAAAGCAAACATGGACAGCAGTTTCTAGGCCTCCTGGGAAATGAAGGTCTGTCGTGGTGTATGATGATGCCCTGAGCTATGCCTTTTGTGACTGTCTGTCAAACGTCCTCCTCTTCTCCTCAAGACTAACAGCTTCCACATTCGAGTCCAGGCTCTTACCGAGCCCCAACAGTAGGCTCTGGATGAAAGCCGCCCAAAGCTCTTCCTTATGGTGATGGTCACTGCAGGATTAGCTCCAGATGTGAGACACGGGGATGAAACAGATAGGAACCACGTTCAGAAACTTGATGACGTACCTACGCATTTGGAGAAACAGTGGGGGCGTTTCTTGTGCGTTTGATCCAGCGGAGACCGTCTGCCAGCAATCATGCACCGAGAGTGAAGGCAGGGATAAAAAACAGGAGATTTCTATCATTGAGATAGAGATAAATCCTCTCTTGATGGCCCTTTTTGGGCCTCCTCACTTACATGCTCACTGTTGGAAGTGAAGGCCAGAGCCAATGGACACAAACGCAGTGTATTGTTTCCTTCTGTGAAACTTAATAATAGCCAAGGAGTTCCAACAGGAGACAAGTGGATTTATAAGATGTTTAAATGGAAGAAAAAAATAAAGAAATAACTTTGTGTAACAGGTTTATGGCCCAAACTCCACAAAAACCCAGGACATTTAAAATACAGACAGAAAACATATCTGTTAACAGGTTTCATTGTGGGTGGCTGGCCCTTTACTCTGCATGAAACAGGATACACTATTCTTAAAAATCTTGTAAAAAGAACTTTGATTTTCTTCAGGAATTTTAGTGTTTTTTTTGTTTGTTTTGCTTTGTTTTGTTATTTTTGCTTAACATGAATTTAGTTTGAAAATCAGGTTAAATCTGACAATATCTATGATTCTGACATCTTTGTGTCATAAAAAGAAACCCAAGTTAGTCTGGTAAAATTTTCAAAAGTCAGCCCGGGTTTTAAAGTAAATATCATTACCATTAATTTCATAGTTTTAATATACTTAATTAAGTATTTGTTCCTGAGCTTATAAACTCCCCAAACAGAACACATTTAAATTCAGGGTTTTTGTTTTTAATCAAGAAAACTAATGTTTTATATGTTATTTGGACAATTGTGTATTCACAAGTTTAAAGATTTGCTTACATCTTTTTTCCTTTAATTCTGGTGTGCATGTGTGTGTGTGTGTGCTTGTGTGTGTGTTCTTGTCTGTGTCTGTGTTTTACTTGTGTGTATATCTATGCACTACTCTGTATAGAGGTCAGAAGAGGGCATCAGATTTCTTGGAACTGGAGTTACAGATGATTGTGAGTTGCCATGTGGGTGCTGGGAATTGAACCTGGATCCTCTGGAAGAGCAGTAGTGTTCTTAACACTGAGCCATTTCTCCAGTCCATAATTCTGCTATTTATCATGAAGTGTGCGTGCCAATGAAGAAAAACACGAGCACCAGATGCTTTTCATTCCCACCCTTCTGCTTAAAAGGGAAGGAGGGAGGGAGGGAGGGAGGGAGGGAGGGAGGGAGGGAAGGAGGGAGGGAGAAGCATCCTGGCACAGTGGCTTAGTGGGTAAAAGTACTTTGCCCCAAACTGACAACCTAAGTTCAGTCCCTGGGAATCCACATAGTGGAAGGAGAGAGCTGACTCTCAAATGCTATCCCAAGGCCTGTACGTGTCACATGACGAACACACGAAGTAAATGTATATGTAAATAACTAATTCTAAAATCAACGGAAAGAAAGTAAGGAAGACTGAAGGAGGGCTGGGGTTGTAGCTTAGTGATGGAGTACCAGTCTAGCTTTCACGAGGCCCTGGATTCTGTCACCAACACCACAGATAGACACACAAAACGAAAAACCTACAGGAACATCCGGCTCTCTCTCAACTGATGGGTTAGCTGTGTGTCAAGTGTGTGCAGTAGTTGTATGTCACCCAGTGAGTGTGCACGGAGATTTCTCAGCGGTGCAAGAGTTCGGTGGACTTTGCTTCTGTGGGCTGAGGGCTTGTTGCTCTCGCCGTCTGAAATGCTCCGAGGGAGACCGATTCAGTTCTGCCTCCCACTGGCTTCGGCTTAAGTCGGAGG